TTGGGCCGCCTGTGGTCTAAACAAGGACCCTTACTCCAAATGTCGAAGCTCTAAAACTATAAATATTATTTAATATTATAGCAAATGTTGGCATTTCCACGTGCTCTGTTGTTGTAGATTACTATCTCTTACTCTGGCCTCTTTGGGAGGTTTAGCCCCCCACATTTTACTTCTGGGGGCTATAGCCCACTAGTCGCTAATACGCCGTCCCTGTCTAATTGGGAAAATATATTAAATAAACTTTAGAATCCGAAAGTCTATACATGCACCACTGTTCAACAAAATTTATCTGACATTGTAAAAGCCTTTGGAATGTTTTAATACTTTTATTTCGTATTGATTGAAATATTGTTAATTATTTTTACGAAAAACTGTTAAATTAAAATAAAAAGAAATGTCATTAATTAATTTAGGGCGAACTGCGCTTTTCGTCTCATACCTAATCTTCAGTAAACGCTTTCTGCTGTTTGACAAAACGTCCCTGCCATTGGTGAATGATTATCTTTAATTGTCTCTCTCAGTGTCGTTTTCGACTTTTTATTTGGATTTCTTCCACAATTTTATATATTAACGGTACTTTTTGTGGGGGTCTTCCAAATCTCCGGCGCAATGCACAAAATAACGACTATATTCCATGGGCGTATGGGCCTAATCTTGTTTCGAGGAAGGCGGCACAGTATTGGTTCGCCCGACCGCTTTGCGTTATGTTACACAGTATACATATACAACTTTGTTCGAGAGTTATGTTTTGCCCGAATGACACATGGATTTCAGCTCAATTGCCCGACCTTAAACATTTTTTTTTGGGGGGGGGAGGGGGGTGGCTGTGCCTATGCTATATTCTCTGGTCGAAGCCATACTGTAAGCACTCCTTTCATGTTTAGGTCACTAAGGTCAGATAAACGATGCCCGGAAAACACAAGGACGGTAAACATAAACCAAAGGGGGCCAAAGGTCGAAAGGGGGAGAAATCGTCTAAGAAAGGTCAAGAGAAAGGGAAGAAGGATGGCGATCGTAAAGAAAAAGATGACGTCGGCGAGTCATCTCACGCTGAAGGAGGTAATATCGACCATATTGATCCTGACAAGCCATTAAGTAAGAAGGAGAAACGCAGATTAAAGAAAGAGGAGAAAATGGAGAAGGAGAAAAAGGAGACTTCAAATGACCCCACGCAGTCAACCGGTTCCCCAAATGAGTTGAATGAGAAAACAAATGTGGCTTTGGGACAGACCAGTACCAATTCTGAGAGCGTGGGTGATGTTCCTTTGTCTTCACGTGAAGATAATTCAGATCAATATCCCACCATCGACGATAGCGCGACTTCTGGTGATACATCGAGCAATTGTGATAAGCAGAGTACAAATCAACATAGACAACAAGGATCAGATGACGACAAATTGAAAGCAAAAGGAGCAAGCAACAGGGGGTCCACTGCGAAATCGAGCGATGCCAAATCAAAAGAGGTATTGATTCAGCATAAAAAGTCGTTTTTTAAATATACTATAGTAATATACTACTTCATATATTATTAACACTCATTAGAAACAGTCATATACATATACCCCATTTTGCATGTTGATACATTAAACGTGATCTCAGTGGTGTAATGGTAAATTAGAATTCGTTTTGTACAACCATGCATGGATTGTAAAATAACTGGATAGGAAACTTCCTGACATCACAGTCTAGAGCTGGTTGCAATCTGTGACGTCGTCACGCGCATTGCCAAAGTTTTCAGCATTGTTGTTGTTTCGCTATATTTTCCGCTTTAAAAGAGTAAAATTGAGGCATAAACTGGTCTAATTGTTTTAAAACCATGCCTAAGCCACGACAAAGTATTCAAGGAAAATGTTTTTCGTCTTTGTTTTGTATTTTTTACATTTGTAGCTACGAAATTGGCGTCGCCAATTTTAACGAAATTTGCAATGCATTTTTCACTGTTTAGTGCTTGAAATATTTGCTAAAACTGACTGGAAATACTTAGAGATTTCATCGTAGAATGGCGTAGTTATATTTATTTGCTTTTTGACTAAAATGTTTAGCTGTATTATTGCTAAACATGCCGTTTTTGAGAATTTGGTTTGCAACTAGGTTTCAACATCTAATCACGCCATCAGCCCATTGAAAACATTAGGTCACGTCAGCTAGTTTCCTATCCATTTATTTTATTATCCATGGTACAACTGAGTGAAAGTTTAGTTTTGACCCCAACGTTTCTATCCATGCAATGTGATTAATAATTTAAAGTGGCTAATTAATTAACTGGGAGAATCAGTTGGTGTTATATTGTTTCATGTGCCACTAACCCCAAATATGATTTTTTTTGTATGTGTAATTAATATTTGGGTTATTCTACGAAAAAATTATATAATTTTATTTTTTCCCGGTCCGTAATCCCAGGTCCGTAACGTAAATGGAGCCTTCTGATTGGACCTCTCGTACACGTTACGGAATACGGACCTCGATCTCGCGTTTCGTGCCAAAATAAAACCGAGGAGTAAAAACAATTTTCAAACTGAAAAAATTATCTAAAAAGTTGAAAAACCCTCCATACAAATCGATACTAAAGATAGAAAAATAAGCTGAAATGACTTCAATGGATTTAGTGTCAGCCCGAAATGTACCTTTTTTCCGATCTAAATGCGAAAAAAACAAGTATATCTTTGACATATAAGTATAGAAAAATCAGTGCTAAATGTTTAGTTTCAAAAGTTCAGCATATATTCAGCTATACTTAAAAAATATACGTTAAAATATAAATACTGGAATCAAGAACTTATCCTGAAACAAAAAATGTAACAAATACCTTAAAATGCTTGTCACAAAATTTTTTTCATTTCTGAATAGAGGATAGAAAGTTAGTTAATTAACAAGTTCTTTTACAGATTTTGGTTTTCTCTTTTTATTCGCGAGATATAGGCCTAGGCATTCAAATGGTATTTTTTAGGGAAAAAGTTGCGAATCACGAAAAGTCTGGGACGAGCGTGCTGTGACGTAGTTAAGGAATAAAATTGCAATGCGCTTTATGTATTTACTATATTTTTAATACGTAGGGCAGTAGTTCCGATTCGGAAAGCATCCATAGCTCTCAATGTGGCTCAGAATATAACTATATTCTTGGGTATAATATAGAAGATGAGTTAAATTATGATACTCATAATGAATTTGGTACTCTAGAAGTAGCGGATAAAACTAGTTCAGGCGACTACGATGCTTGTCCTTACACCGATGAGCCTTTAATGGAGGAAGAATAGTTTTCGCAATATCTCTAAAAATCTACTGAACAAAAAAGACAAACCGAAATATTACAGCAAAGATTAGACGGCCTTGAGATTGTTAAATCATGGTAAATACCTCCATTCTTCAATTTTGCGATTTTAGCGTCAAAATATATGATGAAATTGAAAAAATGATGGATGACTTTTTGGAATTGATGCCGGATGACTTCTAAGGGTTTTTGGTCAGATTCTACTGTGGCTGGCCGGCCAAATGTGTACTGGTGAAAACGCTCGAAATCCCGGAAATTATCGCTAATAATTCCTTTTCTATCTGAACGTATTGTTTGTCTGAATGTGTTGATGCTTGGCTTGCCAGTGCTACAGGCTTTCCTTCTTGGATGAGTGGGGGCCCCAGGCCATGATCGCTAGCATCATACTATAATATCAGGGGTTTGACTGACTCATAGTATTTCAGGACTGGTGGTTCGGTGGTCAACTTCTTAGGACATTTTAATGAAAGTGGCATCTTCGGTTCTACATGTATTCTGCAGACTTCACCCATGTCATTTGGTTGCTTCATTACTAGGATGGCTTGTACTTTCCCAGGACCTTTAATAACAGTAAGCCATGGGCATTGAAGAACGTTTATAACATCGACGAATATTCAAGACGAAGAAGCGAATTTTGTAAATCCCCCAAGATCGAGTGAACAACAGCGGCGACAACAGTGTCGCAACTGTGGATTATCTTGGCCTCATCGTGACGCACCTTGTCCTGCTAAAGGACAAACATGTCGAAAATGTAATAAACAAAACCATTACACCCGAGTTTGTCGCAGCAGCGTACCATCGACAAGGAAACCTATGTACTAATACAAGACCTAGACCTATCCGCCCAGACAACAATCAACACAATATTCAACAGGTTGGATATCAAGAAGACCACTATTCGAATAACCCTAGTAGCAGCAGCGATGATGAGCATTTATATACATGTGTCGACTCCAAATTAACAAAAATGCCTTCAACAAAAGTACAAATAAACAATGTACATGTCAAAATGATCATAGACACTGGGGCACCAATTAACATTATTGACGAAAATACTTTCGCCCTTATCAACAAATACAAACGTATCTCATTAAAACGAACACGTACTAAACTCTTTGCGTATGGTTCAAAACAACAATTACCATTGATTGGGAAATTCGAAGCCACAATCCAAACAAAAAAACGAATGACTGCCTCTATACTATTCATGTACTCAGAGGCAATTCTGGCTCACTGTTAAGTTATCAAACGGCGACAGAACTAAACCTTATAAAAGTAAACGTCAACAATGTCGAAAAGTCACCGGTAATGGCAAAATTGAACAATGTCAAGACTCTAGATCTCTAAAAGATAAAATGGACAAAACATTTCCCCATTTGTTCCATGGAATTGGAAAATTACACAATTTTGAGGCAATTTGCATGTTGATTCTTCTGTACCCCCTGCAGCACAACCAGCACATCGAGTTCCATTTCATTCACTGGATAACATAATCGAGAAAGTCGAGGGGCCCACACCATGCATGGATTTCGCCTCTTGTTGTTATTCCTAAAAATGACGGAACTGTGCGCCTTTGCGTTGACACGAGGCGTGCAAAGTGTGCTATCCAGAGAGAGCGACACCCATGTCCCACGGTTGATGATCTTATACATGCTATGAATGGTGCCAAGGTATTCTCTAAACTTGACTTGCGTTCGGGATATCATCAGTTGTTGTTAGCAGAGGAAAGCACATGTATTACCACCTTTGTCACACATAAAGGATTACGTAGATATAAAAGGCTTAATTTTGGAACTAATTCAGCTAGTGAACTATTCCAGAAAGTTATCCACGATCAAATTCATGGCACACCTGGTGCTATCAATATAAGTGATGATGTCATAATCTATGGGAAATCTCAACAAGAACATGATAGCTCTCTTCACAATGTTTGTCAGCGCTTCGTCGAAGTTAGTCTAACTTTGAACAACGAAAAATGCCAATTCAGTCAAACCAAATTGACATTTTTCGGTATTGTTTTCTCGGCAGAAGGAATTTCAGCGGATCCTCACAAAGTTTCAGCAATCAAGAATGCCTCACCACCTAGCTGTTAACTAACAACGAACCTACTGTGCCAAATTTATAGCCAACTTCAGTCACTTGAGTGAACCTCTTTGTAAGTTAACCGTGAAAAGTGCTCAATTCCGTTGGACAAAACGTGAACAAACTGCATTTGATAACATTAAAAATGCTTTGACCAGTGATACAGAAATGGCTTACTTTGACCAAACAAAACCAACTGAATTAATCACAGATGCATCGCCATGGGGGTTATCTGCAATACTTGCTCAAAGGTCAACACAACATGATGATCGCCGAATTGTGGCTTACGTTTGTCGGTCGTTATCTGAGGTAGAGGGAAAATATTCACAAACAGAACGCGAGGCACTCGCTATTGTTTGGGCTATGGAACGGTTGCAGATATATTTACGTGGTGGTAAACACCGATTGCAAGCCCATTGATCTAATTCTAGGAAACCGAAGTCCAAACCCCCTACACGCATGGAACGCTGGAACTTAAGAATTCAGGACTTTGATTTTGATATAATGTACACTAAAGGCAGTGATAATCCCTCCGATTTTTTATCCCGCCACCCCTGTCAAGAAACAGACAACAAACATGAAATGTCAGCAGAACAATATGTAAATTTCCTCACCATGAATGCAGTTCCACAAGCGATGACAATACAGGAAATACAAGAAGCTACTAAACACGATAAAACTTTACAACGGCTTACTGAAATTATTCGCAAGCAAGCATGGGGCTCCATAAAAGACGTGCCAACAACTGGAGTAGACGTAAGTGAATTGAAACTGTTTCCAAAGGTAAGAGATGAACTAACAATTAATGAACAGTTGGGTATTATTCTGAGAGGAACTCGTAGCCTATTATTATGCCTTGTTCACTTCGCGAAAGAGCTATACGACTTGTGCATGAAGGCCATCAAGGGTTGGCGAAAACAAGTTTAAACAACTGATTCGTGAAAAAATTTGGTTCCCTAGA